CATTAGTGATTCACAGTGCATTTCGTCAAAAACGGTGCAAAAATCATACTGTGAATTATGAATATTGTTTTGTAAGAAATAAAAAGTAATGTAAATGATTTTAGAAAAATAAAAATATGTCCGTAGTTTTAAGTTAATTCCGGGTCAGTTTAAGTAAAAATATGCGTGGGAAAAACATCCGGTAAAGCCACATAGGCTAAAAAGTACATTAAGTGACTCAAAGTCACCACTTTTCCTCACATTCTCTCTCTCCCTCTTCCCTCCCAAACCGTGACAGCCATGGAGAATAGAGCTCAGGGCTTGTTTTGATTTTTCTTTGATTTCCCCATGATTAAGCAACCAAATCTTTGACCCATTATACCAATCTCATAGGAAATCATCCAAGGAAGCTATTCCACCCCTCCATTTGAACTGATTTCGTTTGTGGAGGGAGATATTCATCACCCTAATTTTGAGTTACTATTCATCAAAGGGAAATAGTTGAGCTTTGCTTGATGGATGTCTTCTAGGCTTTGGGTGGTTGATTAGAGGTAATAAACCTCTATTTCCATGGAATTATTTTGATGATTTAAATTATAAAAGTTATGAGTATGTTTTGGTAGGAAAGCATTGTGTATTAAACTTTGATTTAATGATGTATCTTTGATGTTTTGGATTTAAGAAATGAAAATAAGCATTTGTATGTATGTAAAAAAATTAGAAAAAAAAAATCCTATGCTTTCCTGTACATGTTCGGCCATCATAGGTGAAGAGTAGGATGTTGTGCAAAATTTTATCTCAAGTATTAGGAAGGTTTAATGTGTAGGAATTAAGTGAAAATTTGATAAATTAGCGAGAATGCCAAAGTGGGAAAAGATTATATGAAATATGCCCTTATGTTTAGGCCTTGTGGGGCTTTGGAGGGACTTTATGCTCCAAAAATTAAGTTGGAACCTTATGAAAACATGTATTTGTATTTGTAAGTTACATGTAAGTGAAGAAAAAGAACCTTTGCCTATGTCCTTGTAGTGTTCGACCTAGAGGGTGGTATAGGGGTATATTTTGTTACATTTTATTGTAAATAAAATGTGTTGTAATTCATTGTATAAAATTGATGAGTTAAGAAGTGAAATGACTTGAAAAATGGTTGAAAAATACTTTGATTTCCTAAGGGTATGTTCGCGGCTTTTGAAGTAAAATGGCATGAATTATGTTGAAAATTCTTAAGGAATACCTGATTTAATTAAAGAACACCAACGGTTATAAATCGGCCTAGACTTGCGTATTGGCATAGTATTGACAAAAACGTAAAGAAACGAAAAGAAGCGATAAAATGCATGCCTTATGTAAAATCTAGGCATGATAGCATTTTGTTGAGTTGTATTTGTGGATTCTTGCTCTAGGTGTACCTAGGGACTGAAAAGGATCGGAATCTCTTGAAGATTTACATAAGTAACTTGTGTCACAAGTAAGCGAATTGGAAAAGCTTCAAGAGGTAAGCTCTATGTTTAAGGAGTCTTTTCCTACTTGAGTGTTCCACCATGGTTGAGGAACTATGGTTGGACTGTATGACTGTTGTTTTGATGCCTTGTATAGATGCATTCATATAGAGTTATTTGATAACATGATATGACTTGTTCTGATATGATTTCTGTATTGATGTATGGTACACTGATGTCTTCTAGGGGTCTTCCCTGAGATTGATGATGTACACCTCTGACATGTTCTGGTTCCGCTTGGGGTCCTCCCTTGGGAACATGTGCGTTGATTTCTGCTTGGGGTCCTCCCTTGGGAATGACGGCGCACGCCTCTGCTGGTTCCGCTTGGGGTCCTCCCTTGGGAACACGTGCGTTAATTTCCGCTTGGGGTCCTCCCTTGAGAATGACGGAGCACACCTCTGATATGATCTGATATGATATGATATGAATTATGTTCTGTTCTGTTATGATATCTGTTATAAATGCATTGTATACTCTGTATCTGACTTTCGTGCAAGAGTGAGCCAGGGGTATGAAGAATTCTCTATAAACCTGGAGCTTATTGAGATTTGTAATCTCACCCCTCTTTGGGGACATATTTTCAGGTGCCCAGATTCCCGGTGAGTCCTCACTAGGCAAAGACGGGACCCGTGATTGAGGCGTTGGGGACGGATCAGTTTTTGAGTAGCTGTAGGTTGCTAACTTTTTGGAGTGCATTTATATTATTTCATATTTTCGCATTTGATGGATCAGGATGTTAGATCCTTTACTTTGTATATGGCCTGTATATGTCTTGTACATGTTCTTCAGTTTGATGCATGTACATTTTTGTATTCAGGCATGTGGATATGACTATGTAGTATTCAGTTATGTTTATGTATTGGATTGCATGCTGTTAGATTAGAGGCACTGAGCCAGGTTATGCATGCGCTCATGGATGGGTATCTGATTATATTTGCATGACTAGTACTTCTGGAGTGATGCTGTATAAACTGTTTATCAGGAAATGCTTCTGAGTGGGATTGAAAAATCCCCAGTTGTCCGATTTAGAGGAAACTCTGCCCGATTTTCGTTTACGCCGAGTAAGAATTAAAGTAGAAAAAGAAAAAGTTAGCTCGTATTTTCGTAAGTTAAGTCTTCCGCTGTTTCTGTTTATATCATATGCATGTTAATTGAACCGGCTCGAGACGGGGATGTTACACTTTCTAAGCTCTATTACCACGAGCTCAACACCTCCAAAAAACAAAAGAAGCAAAAAATGCAATCGCAAGAACGAACTGAACCTGTGTCACAACGAGACAGAGTTCAATCAATTGAACCTAATTAACAAAATAGAAAGAAAGGAAGAAACAGAAAAACCTTAAGGAAAACACACAGACACCAAAGGCAGAGAAATAGTTCTTAGCCAAGGAAAGAAAGATTCTCAACACAGAATAAATATACATAACCAACCACCCCCAGAAAAAAAAAAATATAGAAAGATGAAACCTACAAACCACTAGTCATTACCCTGCATCCTAAACCCTAAACTTACATTGCAATCATAGATGATCAATAAATGGGCACCCACGAAAAAAGTCAACAACTTTAAACTAGTTTAAGCCATTAAAACAATAACAGATTAACAATAGAAGAATAAGAAGTAAAAAGAGAATTAAGAAATGAAAAGTGATACCTTTGTGGGAAGGGGAAGGAACCCCAAATCCAATGGTAGAAGAGTCGATGTTTTACAACTAAAGTTTTAAAAAAAGAGAACTGAGCACAGCTTGGCACAGAGAGAGTAAGAGAGAGAGAGAGAGAGAGAGAGAGAGAGAGAGAGAGAGAGAGAGAGAGAGAGAGAAAGAAAGATGGACTGTGCATTAGTTCGCTGTGTAAGGTAGCAAACTAGGTAGAGGATGACACGTGTCCTCCTTTTGTTTAAAGCAGTCTAACTTTTGACCACCTAGTTCGCTATTGGTTGAAGCGAACTAGGTGCCACGTCTGCAAACAAAATTCGCTACCTGCTATAGCGAACTTGTACACATGGCACTTTAGAAAATTTTACTGTTCGCATGGCAGTTGGGCAAATTTTTTTCCAAACAGTGGCATTATGGTCACTGTTCCTTGGCAATTGTCTCCCTTCAAGTTCATACGAAACCTTTTTTGTGTGTGGCTCATAGCAGACAACAGTTCATACTCTTATAGATAGGGAGTTTCGAAAGATGAAACTGATAATTTCAAAAAAAATAAAAATAAAAAAATAAAAAGATCAAACCGAAGATATGGATGAAAGTTGTAGCCACCAAAATTAGTATCGACAAGCCAAGGCAAGAACCTTTTCCCATAATTAAATACATACAAGCAAAGGTTAAATATACTCCTTGTGAGATGATTGTACCAACAATTATGTTAATTCAAATCAACAACAAAACAGGACTCGACTCAGAAATTTAACTCCAAAGACACTATAGTCTCCAGCCATCAACACAGGAAATACAGATTCAACCAACAATTAAACAACAGCCACAAGACTCAGCAATTACAAGTAAAGATAAGAACAAGTAAATAAAACCAAAACCACTCCCCGTTAAACCCGACTAGCGAGCGTGGGGTGGAGAAAATCTTTATACGCAGCCTTACCCTTACATAATTGCAAAGAGGTTGTTTCCTGGATTTGAACCCATGACTTTTCAGTCATGAAAGAACAGTTTTACCACTGCTCCGGTTCGCCCCCTTCAGATAAGAACAAGTAAATGACTCTTAAATTGCTATGCAAGTCACAGCAATAGAGAATCCATATTTAGCTCCCTCTATAAGCTACAACTACTTGCAGAGTTCCCCAAATGGGAGTGGATTCTCTCATGTCTTATTTAACATAATATAGTTATGTGAGAGAATTATAATTATACAAAGGTGAATCAATGGTGATAAGGGAAAAGAAAGAAAAAATATTCAAATAGGTGTACAAAATCATGACCGTTAATTCATCTTTATATGGTTATAATTCCCCCACATGACTATGTCATGTTAAATAAAACATGAGATGATCCATTTCCTTCCCAAAATACCTCCCAATGTTTACTTCAGTTTTTCCATGCCCCCTCCACTGTTCCCTTCCCACTATAACTAATCCTCACATGCTTCCTTGGTTCCCAATTCCCCACTCACCAATCAGAGCTTGCCAGCTGTCCCTACTTCTCTCTCCATAACCAATTCCATATTGTTATTTTCTCCCGAAACTACCACCTTCTCTCCCTTCTCATCACTGTTTTGTTGGGCTGGGTCATTCCCTCCAACCTTTCTAGCTTTCTTCCTCTTGTATGTCTGTTGCAAAGGCTCTAAAGCCCATCATGAGACAACTAATTATATTAATAAATGAAAAACTTGGATCCTGAATCACCCTGTGCAGTCAATGTAAAATGTTTGGTGAGTCACCAGTAGTATAATAGCCAAACTTTCATGTTCAGATATGCCTTATATTCTGAGACTTTCATCGGATAGTTTTATCTGATAAAATTGAAATGAATCAAAAGAGGGATTGAGTACCTCAACTCATTAAGCTAGTGTTACAAATGGAATCAACACCTCAATCCCACATCATAATCTTCATCTCAAAATATTCGAGTTAAATTTATCCAAAATGAACTTTGAAGAAAAAAAACAAGAAAAAGGACAAAGGTTAGGATTTCAGAGCCAAACTCAGGTGCTAATATCAGCATCACTGTGGCCATCTATACCTTCTACTAATCTTCTCTTGGCAGACTTGGTTCTATAACACCAGACCTCAAAAGCTTCACTCAAGTCAGGATATCCAACTTCGCGACTTTTGATCCAGTCTGCTAGAATGTCAGCTTGATCATTTGATGGCAATGTTAATAACAATGACACAATTGCTCCCTCGATGGCCTGGCACAAATCTTCATCCATTTTGTAAGGAAAACCAATCTCCTCAATGGCTTTTGAATCCAGCAAGGGCTTCATCTTCCGAACATATGGAAACCAAGCCTTTAACAATTGCACTCGACATGTTGCTGGAAGAATCACACTACTATAACCAACTGCTTCCAAGACTTTACATGTTACTTCTATCAGCTTTACCTTCAGACCCCACATGACATGGTCAAGCTTCTTGTTTTCGATGATCCCCAAAATTTTACTCGAGATTGCAGCCCAGTTAGAAACAAAATTCTTCATTAAATCCATCTTTGGGAGTACATTACACATCCATTCAAGATCAGATACCCTCCTCATTATCCTATTATCCGCAGCCTCAAACTCAAGGGTAGGGTCCAACAGTAAGGAAGATAAGTCCATTTCAAATGAATGAATGATATTGTAAACACCCATACTTACCACTGATTTTACTTCATCATCAGCTATAATGATTGTAGTATCTTCATCTTCTCGTAGCATGTAGTCAACTTGCTCTTGAGCCGAAATTCTTAGCTCATCACCGAATGGAAAACACGGTCCCTCTATAGACACGGCAAAGCGAACAGCAGAAACAAATATATCTTTCGCTGTGCTTGAATCTACAGGTTTGATGTTAAGTATTCTTGACATGGCTATTTATCACAGTTTCAATACAACATTTACAATTTTCAATCCCCCAGTGTTTATCCAGGAATAACCTCCAAGTTTATGACCCTTGTGATCCTTTCACAGTGAACAGTGATTTCTACTTAGGAATGCAGACAACAGAATTAGTGAAGCCAACCATCTGCCACAAGCATCATGCATACTTTCTACCAAACAAAAAAGGGATATGAACAAGCATCAATGAACTACCCCAGATCCAAGAAACCATATCTCTTTAACCAGCATGAAAAGAAAATGATCTTCAAACACTCCTACTCAAGCGAAACAGGCAACATATGAAAGACTTCCAGGAAAAGGGAACAGAAACGGCCAATGCTATAAGTCATATCAAGTGTGCATTGAAAACAATGTTCATTACATTGACAAGAAAGGACAAATAAAGCATGAAACAAGAAATGAAAGATTAACACAAATCACAAACCTATTTCAAAGCTAAAGTCAGAAGAAATGAAAGCATATTTCACGTGGAAAGAAGGACAAATATTAAGAAACCCAGTGAACAAAGGAATGCCCTTTGCCAAATAAATGCCAAAAATATGAAAAGTTCAACTTAGCAGAACATACATCAACACCACCATAGCCAAACCAAAAGCAACATATACATATACAAACACACACAAAAATAATAATAAAAAAAAGGAAATAAATCCACCTGTGGCTTGGAAAAACAACAGTAACTAAATCAAAACAAAAGCTTATTATTTGTGTGTAAAAAGGGTGTTTTAACTAGCTCAAATAGTGGAGATTTTGACTTTAAAATCTTGCCAAAACAATCTCAAAAGAAAACTATATGTACCTATCATACACAAACAAACAAACAAACAAAATCGTATGAAGCAATTAGAAATCAAGACAAAGAATTTACCTTGAAATCCGAAGAACAGAGAAATGATGGTGCTCAAATTGATGATGTTCCTATCTACTCACCTCCCCAGTTTCAAGGTCAGAGAAGAAAAAGGCCCAACAGTACTGCGTCGTTTTAGAACCAAGCTTTATCAGTACTGAGATTAATTGAGTTCCACGCTGCTCGAGTGTTAAATGATTATTATTATTTTTTAGAACTGGAGAGTGAAAGATTCATTTCATAGAAAGGAAGTGAGAAATTTGCGTGTTAATTGAATGGGTGGTACATGTACTTAAAATCTCGACTTACTAACGTGATTTTACGTTTTTATGATTCTTTTCTATCACAATGATTTTATTTATGATTTTTCATACATCGCTTTAATAAAAATAAAACACCAGCAGCACAAAGGAGAAATACTTATATGCAATATTATTAAACCTGACTCAGATATTAATTCGGTTGAGGTATTAAATTATTGGATCATTGATTCAATTAGTGGGTCATTGATTTAATCACATGACTTAATAAATATATGTAAATCTATAATTTATATAAAAAAAATATAAATATACTCAAATACCTATAAAAAAATGATATCAATTTCAAATATTTTAATACGAAAAATAATAAATTACACATCATTTTCGAACAAAAGATCAATAAAAAATATAATACTTGTGACACTGGTGTTTTATGTTCAGTAGATAACATCGTTAACTATAAATCAAGTCAAAATTCTCTATATACTGCATAACCAAAATAATATTAGTGATAATTTATATAAATCAATAATTAACAGATCACTCAAATATTTTAAAAGAAAACAAATTATTTATTGTGATAGTGAAAAAAAGAAAGGATCAGTCGATGAGAACAAACAAGTTTTTTTTTTTTTTTTATGAACCAAGCCGGTCACTAATTTTTACAAAAAAAATCCAGATCATACTGATTTTATTACATGACCGATTTAATATAAAATGGGTCCGGGTTGAGTCGAACAGATCGATTCAATTTTTATAATATTGCTTACATATGTCTCGTTTTGAATAGTAATATGCTCTAGTAACACTAAAAATGAGGTTCTTCACTGGCCAACCCACCTTCACTCGAGTACACGATATAAAATTATCTTCGTTTTACAATTAGAACATTATTCTAAAAAAATAAAAAACAATGAATCCTCTAATATTATTTATCATCAATATGTCAAAGATCTTAATTATTCACGGATAAATCTACAATAATTATATAGAGTTATAATCCATCCTGTTAAAAAAATTAATTATCCAATTAATTTTAGTTTCGAAATAATATGGGATTTGCTAATAGCCTAATGAGATTGGCTAATTTGTGTTCAAAATAAACTCCAAATTAAAGGAGATCCAAAATTACTTTAAAAATTTAGAGAGTTCGAACCAAAACAGTATTAAAAAGATGATGATCTTGTCCTATTGTATCTATGAAATTTTCTTTTTGAAAACTGATGTTAATTATCTCTTTGAAGCGAATCAGAACCCTCTGGTATCCCTACGGATTCGACTCTTTCAGCTACCTATGGGACTAATCTTGAGTTTGGGTGCGAGTTCAAAGATTACGGTACTTATGCCCCTCCCTAGATGGTGTTGGTGGGATTCGAACCGAGGCCCTCTCGTACCACTTAATCCCCATGCTACCAACTGAGTCACCACACTTGGGTATCTACTAAATTTTCTTGGTAACCACATTCATACATAAATAAGATCTCAAAATGAAAAAATAAAAATAAAATATAGAAGTGTTACACTTTAAACCTGATTTTAAGGAGTGTAAATAAATCTCCATGAGTAGCTCAGTTGGCAATTGAGCTTATAAGAATTTGTTAGGGTCAAGCTCATTGCACTCGTTGTTCCAATAAGGGGTAACTTTCGGGCCGTACTTCAAGGACAAAGTGATCGCAGAAGGTTGAATGAGAATACCTTCAAGTTATAAAAAAAAGAGTGTAAAATTTTGATAAAATTGGATTCCCTTATGTTCTTTTATGCAAAGCAACTAGTGGTTTGCGATTAGATTGTGAATTAGTTTCAATTATAGAGAAATAACATTGAAATCAAACAATTATAAATGATGTATTGATGTGTATATTGGTTAAAACCCATACTTTAACCGGTTTTAATTATTGATTTTAATATTATTTGCTGTTAAGCTGCGTTTTTCCATTATACTCGATTTCATAATTTCCACAATGCATAGATGATCAGACCAATACAATATGGGCTAGTCAAAGTGTATCAGGCCAAATCACACACGATTGAAGTGAGAAGGTCTTTGGGTAATCTGTTTTCTAGGCTGGGGGTTGTTGATGATGATGGGAGGACTTTGATTCTCCTTCAGCGCGATGATCCTGACTGAGGGTACCTGCAATAATACTCTGACGCTCAAGTCAGTATCAATGACATGTTTATGTGTATTCTTACGAATTAGATGATAATACCTGGGCATGTATCCTCTGTTTATATTGTGGTTCTGATGCCGCCTTAGGAAGGCAGTATGGCCTCTGATTAGCTGTTCAAGGGCTGCAGGTTCAGCTAGTGCTTCCATAGCCTTATTTCTTTATGTCAGACTATCTTGGTAAAGTGGTGGCAAGCTGGTGTTATCTTCTATTTAGTTGTTCAATGGCGCGGTGGACATTTATTAGTTCTTGTTATTGCTTCCTTATCTCTGAAGTTGTGTTAAAGGGCGATTTCATGCGCGATAGTGACATCGCGCCCTGTTATGCCCGATGGAAGCCATCGCGCCTCACTCTGGGCCTTGCGGGTTTGAGCCTCGTTTTATGTATTTGGGCCTTTGATGATCCTATCATATTTTATCCAGATGAATAGACTTAATTTTTTGCGAAAATGACCCTCGGTCACTATTAAGCTATAACTATGTTTATCTGTCACAACATTACACTATAATTTTTTAGTGTTAGTTTTGGAATTTCAAGAATTAAAATACTTTGATATCTTTCGTGCTAACAATTATGAATCAGTAGTATATCTGTCAAAAGATAATTATCGTCCCACAAAGAACAGTGCACTTGGATTTTTTTATATAATTCTATCTAAGTTTTTTGAAATGTAAGTAATCAACTTTTAATCAATTCAATTAACTAACTATCTAAAATTAGTATTGATCATACAGAAGTAACTCTATTTACCTCTACAACAATTAACAATTGAATTAAAACAACTGAAATCTTAGAATTATAGTTTTCCCCTTTTATATTGCATTCATTCGTTTTACTTGTTGTAGCATTTTTCTTGATGAAGGCCGAGTGTTGTAGCGTTTTCTGGAATTTTTTCAAACCTAGAATCAAATAGATTCAATCTTGTTTGCAGATATTAAATCTAATTCGTATGTGTAAAATCTCTCCTCCATTTCAAATTATTCCTAATTCTAAAGCTTTGAATTAACAGCACAATGCATCTTCATTTTTCAATCAAGAGTCATGTAAAGTAGTTCCAAGACAATTTCCACTGCCTTGGACGACAAGAAATTGCTAACTAAAAATCAAGAATTGAGCTGTACAAGTAATTCTAAGTACTGAGTATCAACCAAATCATCCAGATTTCAGAAAAAGATTTAGAAATACATGATTGCATTAACTTCAACAAATAAACTCGGAACATGAAAATACACTGACATTGCTTAACCAAATTCAAGTTCAGAAGAGTAAAAGGGTACAGACCAGATATTCGAATACAGTGTTCACAAATTCAAAGCCTAGTAAAAAGTACAAATTGAAAATTGAAACTTTGCAGCTTCTTGGATCCCTCCAACAAGTCTTTTACACGTGCTCCTTAGAACAACTCATAAAAGCTTGGATAAAAAAACTAAAAACTTTAGAACTACTTAAAATTAACTTAAGTCCCTATTTAAACTAAGGTAATGTTTGGTAGAGGGTTTTTTTTCCAGATAGCCATGCATATGAGATTGGACTTTTATGTTCTCTTTGTTTGGTAGAAGACTTTGAATTTTTTTGATAGGAAACGTTCTTGCCCAGAGTTTTACAATTGTGTTCAATCTAGGACCAAAAACACGGTTTCACATTACCACTTCCAAGGTGGTATTGGAAGATGCCCAGGCTAATGGAATAAGGAGGATGACAAAGTTGACAAAAATACCCTCTTCATCACAACAATTAAACACCTTTACTCAGATGAAAAAAATAGAACAACAATGAAAAGCGACCACCTTTACTCAGAGAATGACTTAAAAAGCTAGAAGAAGCATCACAACAACGAAAAGGGGCGCCAAAAAAGAAGGGTAGAAAGGAAGTGGAAATCTTACAGGAAGGGGATCATATTTTGTTCAAGCTAAGAAAAGCTTTTACCTTTTCTTTTTCTTTTTTTCTTCTTCTCAGAATCAGTCATATAAAAAGGAACGGTGCTTTCACTTTCTACAAAACAACGAGGTTTGGGAATGAACAAGAGATTGAGAGTGTCGTTCATGTCCAAAGGCAATAACAGAGAGATGCGATTTTCCCTCGTGTGTGTGCATTGTGTGTGGTGATGTCTATAGTCTATTGATGCAAAGGGTAGAAAAGCATACGGAGACTGAATCTAACTGCAACTATGCCCCTGTGGGACCACCACCATTAAATCAAAGGGTTCTTTTGGTAATTTTAAATCATTTTCCCATCAATATTTTACTTTTAACCAAATATAAATTTTGAAAATTTAACTCAATTTTTCCGGTAATATTTTGCTCAATCAAGTAACTTTTTTTAAACTTTCCCACCAAACTCACTTCCTTGGTAAAAAAAAATTTCTACTCTACCAAACGCCCCCCCAGTTACTAGAGAATAATAACCCCGCCGAGAAGAATTTAAAAGAGAGAAAAAAAATTTATAAGACCCATCAATGAAATGTGTCTATACCAAGAGGATACGATTGTCCTGTAACATAAGAATATTTATTCCCTTAAACTAATTTCAAAAAGTTTTCCAAGTGATGTTGTTCATCAGATTTGTCCACATCCAACGGAAAATTTCTTTAGTGCTAACGATGCATCAAATTTTTATCAAATCACTTTCTAACCTGATTTTAAAATATTATTTATTAATGATTTAATAAAAATAAAATACATGTCACATTGTGAGTGGAAGATGCAGCACTAAAGATATTCTCCAACCAACACTCCATAAGTCTGCCACTTCAGCTCCCTGCCCCCACCTAGTGCTTTCTTGTGATGACATGACAGAAAAAAAAAAAAAAAAATCACAATTTTGCCATTAACCAACTAAAACACCTTAATGGGCCAATTCTGTATAATCTTGGGCCTTTTCTCCTGTAACTTAAGTCATATACAGCCCAGTAATACAGAAAATATCCTATTAATTCATGTAAAAATTACAACTAACATTTAGCAAGGTTAAATTTGGTGGATATTTCGTTAAAGGGATACATTAATTACACTATATTAAGAAAATCATGCCTTAACAAGTGTTCGAAGTTGACAAATAATAAAATAGTCCAATTTAGTTAACCTTTTCTATCTTACTATTATAATAAGACGAGTAACGCTATGTAGTTAGAAAATTTTGACAGAAGCAAAATCAATATAAAAAAGACCAATATCTCAAACTAATTCGGGTTGCCGGTTGGTGATCGATGATTCACACTAATTGGGGTTGGTGATCAATGAACCCAAATGATTTAATAGAAAGAAAATACTTAAAAAATATAAAAGGAAACTAGAATAACAAAGAGGGGAAAAAATTCTACAGAATCTTGTGGTTGCAACAACTCCTCTGAGATTTGGTTGCATATACCCCTCTCTACTCTTCAAGATTACGTTAGTCGAAGGATCTTCCTTCAAAATCAAGTTCCAATTGTTGACTGTTGTCCGGAGGCAACCTGATCAAGATTGCAAGACCTGATGGAATAATTTAGAATCAGCAAACGCAGATGCAGACGTAGTAGGTTTTTTACAAACCAATAGGTATAACTCAACTATAATAATACGTCAAAATAGGGATATTTAATAAAGTAAAAGGATAATTAGTTGCAGAAACATTACTGTTAAACTTCTAACAGTATAGATTTTAGGTATTGAACTTTGGGGAAAGTACTTCTTATGTGACTGCAGAAGGGGAAACTTGCAGCAACACAGGGTACGCGTCCGAATCCTGGTTTTTTTTTGTTTTTTTGTTTTTGTTAGAATCCGCACGTGTATCCTAGGATCCGCACGTGTATCCTAGTGTTAAAAATTCGCTGCAACTTTTCTTATCAGCAGTCACATGAGAAGCGACGGACCCTTGAACTTTATGATTACAGCAATTGCTTCACATTTTGAACTGGTTTGATGGATAAACTGTTAGGCTTTTTGACTCATCCAATGTAAAATCCCAAACATTTCACCAATTTAATTCTTTTGGCAAACTAGTTACCAATCAAACAGGAGTCAAACGAGTATTGGAGTGTGTGCGTTAAACCGCGCATCACCCTATGCACGACTTGTGCAAAAGCCAATGTGCGTCTATTATGTGTCCCATTTTGCGAGACATGCATGGAAGCATGCACGACTTGAACTTGTCGCAAAGCGTGACACGTGATAAACGTGCCCTGATTTTTGCACAAGTTGTGCGCGGGGGGCGTGGGTGACGTAATGTTCATTGTGAGTATGCGCATCTTTTTGCATTAGATTGGTAAATCATTTGCAAAAAGAATTAAATAGGTGAAATGTTTGAGATTTTGCATTGGATGGATTAACAAACCTAAACTATTGTACCAACAAATACTGTTCTTGTGTGTGAAACTGAAAATATATAATATTTGTGCTACATAGTTTAAGTGATTGTCTTAATTCAGAAATTCCATGACTTAAGAAGGAAACATGAGAACTTGCCAATGAAAACCACAGATCAGATATCATTATTATGTTTACCTTCAACAACTTTATAGAGAGTAGACCACCATCTATCTGTAGGAACATGTTGTTTAGTCAGTGTCTCTTCTATGGCTTCATCATGCTTCCCCACTAAAACTTCTTGCAGTGTTGTCACCGCATCCCTTGTTTTATGAAGGATATCTTTATTGTCTTTTGTACTTGGACTTTGAAGATGATGGTGTAATGAAGAAAGGGTACTTGCCATTGCAAACTGGGTAGCAGCAGCCCAGTGAGAAGAGGCTAATTGTCTCATATGGCTTTCCAGCCCCTTGTTATATTCATTAGAATTGTTCCCTGTTCTTCCAAATACTAGGCTACATAAATACTTAGCATTTTCAGGTCCAGTACTTTGAACCATCTTGTAGAATGCAGTTCCTTCATCTAGTAAGAGTTCCTCTGGTGAACTGTATTCAATAACCTAAAAAGCATAGAGGAAAAAGATGAATCTTCATATTAAATCATCAATGTTGAATTTAAATCACAAATATATTGAAAAGGTTAAAAAAAAAAAAAAATTCCCCCTCAATTTCTAATTTGTCCTTTATGTTCTTTTAGAACCATGATACCTGCTGCAGATAGGAATTAAATATTTGTAATTCATGCTACTTGGATATTGTTTGAGATGTAATATAAAATTATTCGTGTATATTCACCTAATAACTTAAACTTTTAAGATAGTTGTTTCATAACATGGTATCAGGGTTAGCCATTGCTATCTTTCTAATAAGAAACAAATTGAATTTATGTATAAGGTAGGTAGGCTGATACATTTATCCACAATTCAAGTTTAAAGGGCTCTTGCATGAGGTGACATGTTATAGATATAATATAAATTATTCACGTGTTTTCATCCAAAAAATTGAACTTTTAGAATAGTTGGTTCATGACAGATATACCTCGCCGGCATCAAGTAACAGAATCTGATCGCAGTCAATAACTGTATTAAGTCTGTGAGCAATGATGATCATTGTGCAGGACTGAAATTCTTGTCGGATAGTTTTCTGTATAAGGGCATCTGTTCTAACATCTACAGCAGCAGTAGCTTCATCCAGGACTAGAACCTTTGATCTTCGTAGCAATGCTCTAGCTAGACTTAATAGTTGCCTCTGTCCAACACTGAAATTGTCTCCTCCCTCTGAGACCTTAATCCAGTACAAAAATCACCTTGTCATAATTTCTTATTTTCAATTGAAAATTCAAAAACACTCTAAGAAAAAAAATCAATTCAGTAACTCTAATTTCCGTAACAAACCTAGCTATCATATATTTGCAACATCTGTACAATTGAGCTTTGAATAAAATTTACCTCGCAAAGTTTCGGCTACTATTATTATATGTACAACAACATGTTTAAATGCCATAAATCAACTTATGTTTCATTTCTACGAGATTAATAAAGTATGGATAAAATTGTGAATAAAATTATTTTATTATATATTATGGAAGCAGTAAAACTGTTCTTTAGTGACCTTTTGTTCGAATCCAAGAATTAATCTCTTTCTAGAAAAATATAAGGATAAGACTGCGTAGAATTATTTTACCAGTGTACATTGTACATATGTTACTAACTGTAACTATTTATAACACTGTACTGACTTTAAACCATGTTTTCAAGATGATGAAAAAGAAATAAAAAAGCTTTATGGATACTTCCTATCCCAAAGGCAAAATAGAATCAATTACTGGCATTAATGATTATGGATTTATTTTACAGATATATGTTGTTGAAAATTTGAAAAAAGAAGATTGCATTTTTGATACTTCCAATTATTTTGAGCAACTTCAATGACTAAAATTATACAATAATCTGTGTACCTGAGCATCTAGACCAAATGGATTTCTTCTTATTACATCCTTCAAATGCGCCCTTTCTAAAGCTTCCCATAGGTCAGTATCATTGTGTTCATTAAATGGATCAAGATTGAAACGAACAGTTCCTAAGAGAAAGAATAATGATATTTTAGAACAGAAAAGTTTAATTGAAGTTAATGGACAATGTTTATATACAACTAAATGAAAATTTAAAATACTACAATAATGTTCATGATCCCTGTATACTTATATGGCCAAGAAAGAGATTACTGTATTCATGATGATAGAACTCCCATATAACATTGTCTAACTGAGACAGTTTGCTAATGCATACAATTCTTCAAATTCTAATTCTAAATCACGGAAGATTAACTTGCAGGTCTCAAAATGAACAATAATCCATTGTTTCAAGTTTTTATTTTTCCTCCCTATGAAATAAAACAACAACCAGGATTATTGAGGAGTCAGAATAGAAATACTTCATGGATTTCATTTTGATCCACTGTCAATGATTTTTTACACTATTATCCAATCAATTAAGTGTTTTTATTTTACGAGAACAATCACTTTGATCACCATTTTAAACCATACTGACAGTGGATTAAAACTAAATTCATGTTTGATTATCTAAATATGGCATAGAACAAGATTTCTTGTTATGGTGCATACCTGAGAAAAGAACTGGGGATTGTGGTATGATAGTAAGAACACTTCGCAAATCTGCTAGTCCAATCATAGAAATATCACAACCATCAATACTGATTCTTCCTCTTGTCAGTTCCACAATCCGGAATAAAGCATTAAGCATGCTAGACTTTCCAGCACCAGTTCTTCCAACTACTCCTACCTTCTTAGTTGGAGGCACTGTAAAGGACAATCCATGCAAAACTGGAGGAAGTTCAGGCCTATACCTAAGAACAACATTCTCAAACTCAATTGATCCTGATGTTGGCCATCCTGGTGGTGGACGGTTTGTCTCAATTATACCTGAAGCCTCAGTTTCTAACTCTATATATGTGTCAACGCGCTCAACAGCATTTAAACTGATTTCAGCTCTACTTGCTTGTCTTAGTACACCACTCAAGAGATTTGTTATGTTTAAAGTATAACTGAGAAGTAGACCCATTGTAGATGCAAACATTGCTTGATTTTCAGCTCTTGCATTCTGCAAGACAGCAAATGTTGCTATCAACCAAATCATGAGGCCTCCTAATGATTCTAACCTTATGGTGAGCCAACGGTTTGAGCTAATATTCACAAGGGTAAATCTGATATTGTTGTCCATGAATTTTCCATTAATGTGTGCCATCCTGTCATATGCTTTGTAAGCCCGAATGCTAGACAAACCATTCAGTGCTTCTCCAAAATGTGCATAAACTGGAGATCTTGTAATTGAATCCAAACGCTTCACCTCTCGAGCCGTGCTCTGTCAGGCATGATGTTAATAAGGAAAAATCAATTCCTCAAGCAATCACCACTTTGTGTCAATTCAAAAATAATAAGTTCTGCATATCTTTCTTTCCAGACAGATGTTTTTTATTGGCACATCTTCACTTGAACACCATTTTGACTAACTTATAATCTTCTATGCTTGTTAATTACTTATACTTTGCTTTGAACTAACTTGATATTCCTCATTGATTGACTTTTCTTTAATAGTTTAGAAGTTAATAGCAGATGTTTAAAAATTATTAACACAAAGAAAAACAATATTTACAGAGGCATAAAAAAGAGTAAGAAGTGGTGAGCATATGCAGCTTTGAAGATTAACTATTCCTGCTAGAAAAAATGATTAGATTTAAGATTTAGTTACTTGGGTTATGAATCTGTAAAGAATCAATTCAACCCAAAAGCTTAAGCTGTTGGGTGAGGTTACATTAATGATTTTATATATCTCAACACGCCCCCTCATACGAGAGCGCATTGGGCTTGAAGAGTGGACAATGCACAGGCCGACCTACCTATGCGAAGAAAGAAATTCCACTAGAAAGAAAGTGGGGGGCGGTGAGGATCGAACCCGGTACACCGAGGCTCTGATACCATGTAAAGAACCAATTCAACCCAAAAGCTTAAGCTGTTGGGTGAGACTACATTAATGATTTTATATATCTCAACAGAATCAGACAAGGAGACTAGCTTGGATAATGTTATTGTAAAATGCCAACTGTACCCAAAAGCTTGAACATGTAAATGATGACCATCACCAGATTAATGATTTTATATTAATATCTCTAACACACACCCTCACAAAAGAGCCTATGGGATGGGAACATAGATAATACACATCCATTTTTTTGTTTTACCTTTTTGCTGATGTGTAGAAAATCAGAATTCAAATTCAAATATTTTTCCGTTTTTATTTATTAGGAATAATTAAGATTAATTAGGATTGATTGTTTTTTATTTCCTATAAGTTAGGATTAATTGTGATGGGCTCATAGCCATGGAACCTTATAAGATAGTGTATGAAAGAAGAGGGAAAGCCCAAGCCCAAAGAGAAAGGGGAAGTCACCAGAGCAAGGCACTAAGGGGAATTGAGGAGAAGTTGGTTAATATCAATGCCACGTGGAAAGCTATGAATGGGCAAGAGGAAGTGGAGAACGTGCAGCGTGAAGAGAGGTGGGAAGCGAATAAAAGCGAGGAGAGTTCGTTGGAGAGGGGCATGCAATTACATGAATGAAGAATGGAGAGTCCTATTGCTGAGGCTGGGTCATTGTCTCTGTAATTGGATGAAACGGTTATCTTTCTTGGTATTTCTTATGGCATCTTATGTTAATTTTCTATTGTAATTCGGCTAAGTCCATTGTTAAATAGGACATTCTGTTTGTAAGAGGCACTGATGAAGTGTCTGATATTTCTGCAATATTAATATAAGTGTTTGAATTCAGTCCATCTTTTACCATTTCGTTCAATTTCCTGTTTAGAACTTTGTCGGTACCATCAATTTGGTATCAAAGCTTTCACGAATCCTTGGAAGCAATTAATGGTTAATACAAGAATGGAAAATAGAGTAGATGAGGTAGAAAGGAGAACGGCGAGAATCGAAGCAAGGATGGAAGGATTGGATGCTAATATTTTGCACCTCCGTGATGCTGTAATGGCATTCATGGCGCGAGCTGAGAACTTCATGATCAGAGCAGAAAATAATGAGACGGAGAGACCGCCAAACGCTAACAGTGAAGGAAACAGTGGGAATCGGGTGGGAAATAACATGAACACGGTGAGGGACGAGGAAAGAATGCGAAGGGTGGAGGTACCGTACTTCGCCGGAGAAGATCTTTACGGCTGGATATTTAGAGCGGAACGTTACTTCCGAGTCAATCGAATTCCGGTCGAGGAGCAGGTCGAGACAGCTTCTATTTGTTTGGAGGGGAAGGCGTTGAGCTGGTTCCAGTGGTGGGAACCACGAAACCCCTTGGTAGACTGGAATATGTTCCGGACGGCCATTTTAGAGAGGTTTCTCACCTCTAATGGGGGAAATCCATATGAAGCACTCATGAGTCTGAAACAGAGTAGTTCCGTGGCTGAGTATCGAGAAAATTTCGAAGTCTTGTCCGCACCACTGCAACACGCAGATGAGGCCATGATGCAGGCGACATTTGTAACTGGTTTACAGGAGACCATTAAGGCGGAGGTCAGAGTTCACGCTCCGAATGATTTGGCTCAGTTGATGAAGTTAGCGCAGAGGATTGAGGAGAAGGAGACGGTGTTGGGCCAAGCCAAGGTGGTGGTGGGCCGAACCGGATCGGGATTCAGCAATCAGTACACGCACATGGGAAGGCCTGCTTTGGCTAACCCACGAAATGGGCCTCAATCTAATAACACATTTGGCAAGTTTGGGCCCAATATTAATCAATAAAGAAATGGGGTCCCAATTGACCCAACGAGTCCATCGTCAAGTGGAAGTGGAGGGGGAGTGAACCCTAAGGGATCTGAGAACCAAACTTCGGGGGTGGCAAGGGATGGAGGGGTAGCTACCAGTTATGGTGGTTCGACAGTAGGCAACGGGGGACGCCGAGGATCCCGTTTTCGAAGGCTATCACCTGAGGAATGGGAGGACCACCGGTTGAAGAATCTGTGTTTTCGATGTGACGCACCATATTCACCAGGTCATACATGTCAGAATCCTCATTTGCATGTGATGATCTTGGCCGAGGGTGGGGAAGAGCTCGAAGAGGAAGAGGTGGAACGAGAGATGCATACGGTGGCAGCAGATGAAACGTTACAACTGGGCATACATAGCGTTGTAGGGTTGACTTCGAACAAATCCTTGAAGTTATGGGGAAAGGTGGGTAATCAAAAGGTAGTTGTGTTGGTGGATACTGGAGCCTCGCATAATTTCCTGGCAACGGGGATAGCTGAGAGGTTGGGTCTTCAGGTGGATACAAACCAACAGTCTACTGTAGCAGTTGGGGATGGTCATCAGGTAAAGAGCTCAGGGTATTGTAAGGGGCTGAAACTGGAGTTACCTAATTTGGTGATCATTTAAGATTTTTATGTGTTTGACTTGAAAGGGGTGGATTTGATTTTGGGTTATCAATGGTTGGAAGAATTGGGAGAGGTACATGCCAATTTCAAAGAGAGGAGGCTGAGAATTCCTTGGCAAGGGAGAGAGGTCATGATCTTAGGAGACCCGTCTCTTTCATGTAGTGGAGCTTCTTACAGGGGATTGGGTCGTTCTTGGAGGAAGGGGGCTGAAGCTTTTTACTTGGAATTGGCTTACTGCGTGAATCAGGAGGAGAACTTATCGTTGGAAATCAACAACGTGGCTGGGTTATTACAGGAATTTGAAGATGTATTTGCTCCATTAACTCAAGTACCACCTAAGAGAGGCTGTGATCATAGAATATTGTTACAAGAGGGTGCTCTCATTCCTAATATACGACCCTACAGGTACCCACACTACCAAAAAGGAGAAATGGAACAGTATGTGAAGGATATGTTATCTACAGGCATGATTCGTCCCAGCAACAGCCCTTACTCCAGTCCTTTGATTATGATAAAGAAGAAGGATGGGAGCTGAAGATTTTGCACAGACTATCGAGCTTTAAACAAGGTAACAATACCTGATAAGTTTCCAATACCTGTGATTGATGAATTGTTAGACAAACTGGGAGGGGCAGGAATATTTTCGAAACTCGATCTCAAATCTGGTTATAATCAGATTCGAGTACGAGAGGAGGATGTGGAAAAGACTGCTTTCTGCACCCATGAGGGTCACTATGAGTACCTTGTGATGCCCTTTGGGCTTAGTAATGCACCTTCAACTTTTCAATCTTTAATGAATACTATCTTTAAACCGTATTTAAGAAGGTTTGTGTTAGTCTTCTTTGATGACATCCTAGTGTACAGCACCACTAGTGAACAACATGTGGAACAACTGAGGAAGGTACTGGAAATTTTGAGGGACCACCATTTGCATGCTAATTTCAAAAAATGCCGTTTCGGGCAGAAGCAGCTGGAATATTTGGGTCACTTGATATCGGCAGAAGGTGTTACAGCTGATCCAAAGAAATTAGAGGCTGTAAGCAAGTGGCCTATACCGAAGAATCTAAAAGCTTTAAGAGGCTTCTTAGGCTTAACTGGTTATTATAGGAGATTTGTGAAGCAGTATGGATACATGGCTAGACCTTTAACACATCTACTCAAGAAGGATAATTTTGTACGGGGAGAAGAAGCACAAGCAGCATTTGACAACTTGAAATCTGCCATGGTTCAACTACCAACTCTTGCACTACCTGATTTTGAGGAGACCTTCACTGTAGAAACAGATGCATCAGGTATAGGGATGGGGGCAGTACTCATGCAAAAAGGTCGTCCATTGGCATTTTTGAGTCAAGCATTTTCAGAGCATGCTCGAAATCTGTCTGTATATGAGCGTGAGTTGAAGGCAATAGTGTTTGCGGTGCATAAATGGCGTCACTACCTTTTGGGACGCCATTTCATAGTTCGTACAGATCAAAGGAGCCTTAAATACCTCACTGAACAGAGGGTCATGTGTGAGGGGCAACAAAAATGGGTGGCTAAGTTAATGGGTTTTGATTTTGAAATTCAATTCAAACCAGGATGTGAAAATAAGGCTGCGGACGCCTTATCCCGAGTTATGGAGTGCAGGGAATTAACCATGGTTACTAGTCCTGATTTGCAGTCCATTGCTGATGAAATGTTAGAGGACCCTGCCACACACCAGATTATGTTAGAAGTGCTGGTGGATAAGCAGCCCCATCCTGGGTATCATGTCAAGAGTGGGTGCTTGTGGTACAAAAACAGATTGGTGATTCTGAAAGCCTCCAAACGCATTCCGTTTATTTTAGAGGAGCTCCATTCGTCCCTGTGGGGTGGTCATTCAGGGGAGCTAAGAACATTCAAGAGAATTGCATCTGTATTTTTTTGGAAGGGAATGCGGAAGGATATTAAAGCTTTTGT